CTGATATACAAATGGACTAGTCATTTTACAGACTTTTCTCTAGATCCCTTGTTTTTTTGTGTGAAATATTGGATAAATTTGACCTCAATGTGGGCTTGGAAATAAACAAATCATGCTGAGAAGGGAAATGTCTTTGGTGAAAACCTGCTTAACTGGTAACAGAGACCCAACACAACCTGAAAAAGGGAACCACTGCTTTAATGTTTAACAGTGCATTATTTAATATGTTTGTCATATTGTTTTAAAGGGAAAAACGCCTTAATCTGAAAGTAACGTAGCGTAAGTCCAGTAAAATGATATTATTTCCTCTGAAAGGTAGTGGAACATATAAAACTAACAGAAAATATAAAAAAACAACAAGTCCCTTTTTAAAAATTTGAATATACTTGTAAATGTAGCGAGTACCTTCCCAGCACTGTCTGTCCCACTGCTCTAAACACACTCCCAGAGTCCACTGTCTACCCCTTTGTTTGTCTCAACTACTTTTCTCCTCCCTGTGTCTGCAGAAAAGCCCTGTGTTGTGGCATTGGAGAAAGAAACAGCCAAAAAACTGGTTCACTGAGCTGCAAGGTGCTGAAAGGACATTTTGACATTGTTCGATTTCTGGTGCAGATTGATGACTTCAGGTAAGCAGACCACAACCCCCCCCCCCCTTTCTAACCTCTCTCCTCTCTACCCTTGGCTGGCCTCTATCCCCTCTGTGATTGACAGGAGATCCTCACCTACAGAAAACTTACAGAGCATGACAAGAGCCCAATCATCACCACTATGTGATTGTGTGTGTGCACAGTACAGTACAACCGAAGCCTTTTAATGCTGTCCGTACACGGATGCACGCACACATATAAAGGTTTTGCACCTGCTCTCCTCTCTGAGCTGCTTTGTGGAAGCATGCTGCACACTGGCATGGTAGAGTGGGTCTGCATAAGTGGTCAGATTGGGATTTATAACAGAACTAAGTGTGTGTGTGTGTGTCAGGAGGTGGGGGTTGCTTCACGCCTGGTCTCCTTCAGTAATAACCCCCTCCTCTGGGTCTCGTCCTCTCCGCACACGGGTCCACAGTCGGGGGCAAAGGCCAGAAAATTCTCTCCAGATTGCTTTTGAAGTCCGAAAATGTATCCTCGACAGTTCCTCTCTTCTCATTTTTATCTCTCTTTTTTTATCCGCTCATCCTGTCTGTTGATTTTGGGAACAGGTAGTGTGGATGGTTGAGGGTCAGAGGGCAAGTGAAGGTGGAAAGCCCCAGGACAGATGTTTTTTTAAGATTTCTCAGGTGGAGATGGACCTACGGGAAATAATTCCTCACAGGGAGAGAGATTAACTTGGTGTGTTTGGCTACGCTTAGTGAGCTCACGAAAGATGAAGCCTGCCAAGTGCACATCTCCAGTGAAGTACTTTTGTCACGAACGAGTCTACTTGCAAGAAACAACTCATACCTTTCATCTTATGTTTTCCAGATGTGCCTCAGCAGGGGACGACGGCCTCGTTCTGGTGTGGAATGTAGAGGTAATGCTTTGCAAGAAGATTATATCAGTGCATTGTGAAAGTGCATGCAACACGGTGGCACTAATTGCTTTTTTCCCCCCTGACTTTTAGACCGGGGAGAGGCTGCAGGAGCTGCGGGGCCATTCCCAGCAAATAACAGCCATAACCACCTTCACCTGTAATAATGGACTCACATCGCACACCTCGCTCCTCACAGCCTCCTCAGACCGAAGTCTGAGTGTATCCTCATAGCAAAACACAGAGAATACATCCCGACATTCAAACACACACTAAAATCAGTCATATGTAATTGTTGTGATGTTCCTTAATCTGATTTGTCAGTTGTGGGACCCTGATACAGGCAACAGGGTTCAGACCATTTCAGATCTTCAGTCTTCTGTAAAGGTAATTGATAAGCTCCTTTCAGACATGTACCTTGCTACATAAATGGTAATTTTGCCCATGTGTGTCTCATAGTGTCACTTTTACATAAAAGTCATGATGCTACTCTTAGAAGGTCAGACAAAGTAACATTTTGTAAAACTTCCAACATGACAAGTCTGAATTGAATCCTGTAATTAGTACATTATACATTATAATTAATTAAACATATGATTATTTTTCTTATTCCTATGCATCACACAAGCAAACCTATTTATCTTTAAAAATTCAAGATCAAAAATAGAGAGTAGTTTTTAAGGAAAGGGATGTTTTATAACAGTAAATAGCACCAGAAATGTTTGCTCAGTGCTCCATACATACTAATATAAAGAACATATACAGTGCGTCTTGGGTCTTCACATAAATTTTTCTTGGTAATTCCAGTCATGTCATCCAACTCTGGGCAATTAACTTTGTGTTGCCAAGATATGTAACATACTAATTAAAATGTTTGACACTAAAGGTTGTTCTGCCAGTTATGATTTAAGATAAAAATGGTAATTGCCTCCTCTTGATCATAGATTAAGGTTAATTGCAGCATCTGTAGGTTAATTATATTTGATTTCTTTTCTTCACCGATATATTGTGTGTGTGTTTACGTGCATTGATGTGTGTGTTTGTGTGCATGTTTATGCTGCTGATCCAGCTGTGTCTCTCTCTCAGTGTTTGCTGGTGCTGGAGCGGCTGTGTTTGTGGGTTTCCGGTGGGGAAGAACTGTGTGTGTGGAACAAAGACTTTCAGCTGCAGTGTCACAGACAGAACCACAGCGACACTGGTAAGGAGAAAGAAAAGGGAAAAATAACTGTCACAATAAACGTCTTATGTGTTAATTGTTGCACCAGCTATACTCACCCCTGACTCTGCTGTTTGCACACAAACTCATCCATGTTGTCATTGTGTTTTTGGCATTTTGCAGGAATAACTGCTTTGATAGAGCTGCCTAAGAACTGCATAGCAGCTGCAATGGACAAAGAGATAGGTAAGAGACAGATTCTGATGACAAGATTGTTCATTCATTTCAGTATATAAGTATTTTTCTCCTTCTTTGCAGTGATCTACAGGCTGACATTCTCTACTGACTCCTCTCTGTCAATGGCTGAGATCCGCTGTCTGTCGGACCACCAGGACCAGATCCGAGCTCTTATCAATGTCAATGGTCAGTCTGTCAGAAACTCTGAATCATCATTGAAAATCAAAGCGGCTGCATTCAGTTTTTAAAGATATTGAGAAATCGCATTTGGTCCATCTTCCTCAGACGGGCTCTTCGCCAGCGGATCCCATGCGGGCGAGTTGATCTTATGGGATGCGATTGATTGGAACATCCTGGCCTATGAGCACATCCTGTGGGAGGAGTCACAAGCCTGCACTCAGGCTGAAATACGATTAACCGCTCCCAAACCCAGCGAGATGTCCATTCAGCATCTGACCACCAACGGAAAGGTGAGGAAGACGGGATGAGTGGATGTTCCTGTTGTGTATCATGACAATTACTGTGTTGTTTTGTTATTGTGATCCATAAAGAAATGTAATGTCTGTGTGGTTTGTAGCACATCCTTGCAGCTGTGGGCAGCGGCCTGTATGTGTACAGCATTCAGACCAAGTCAGTGGTGGCCTACAGGAAGGTTGCCCATGACTCTAATATCTTACACACCATGCTGTTATCTGACAGGTAATATATCAAACATTTCCCAACAAGTTCCTGTCTCTAACCTCTCCAAAATGTGACCCAAAATTAGGATTGCAGAATGATTTATTTAAAAAGATTATTAGTTTTCTCTTTGGATGCATATTTCATTTGCCACTGATTTCTACTATGAATGAGCTTTGGAGGCAGTGGTCTCAAAGCTCAAAGCAACCTTATTGGATCTTGTGACCCCTTGTTGTCAGTTGCATATTTCTACCAGCCATGACCAGATCAACCAAAGACAGATTTTATTAGAATATTTTCCCAAAAGAGATACAATTATTCAGTAATTTAGAAATAAAAAAGAATAACCTTAAGTTTGTGTAGCACTCATCTGGTTGTATTCTGCTTTCTTCTGCTATTCATCTAGCAACTATTCAGATTTATCTTGTGACCCTTGTGGGGGTCAGCACCTCAGGTTTGGGACTACTAGACTGAACAGTGCAACAAGCATGCACTCTATTTGTAAAATATCAATCATCAATCAGTTTGTATTTACAAAGGATAAAAACTATGATAGAAAACACTGACTGATTGATTGGTTTATATTCGTTTCTTACACAAAACAGTGCCCAGGTTCTCTGACAACCGCAACCAAGATGATCACAGAGCAAATCATAGCCTACAGTTCTGTAGCTTTCTCATTAAAATGCTCAAAACAAAGCTGTCTAAAATAAAAGAAATTATTTCTTAACAACATCAAGATCACATAAAATCAGTTTTTCAGGAAGGCCTTTATATCAACTCAACTGTTAGTAGTACCAGTACCAGTTCTTAACTTGGCACTCTGGGATCTCTGCTTTCTCTATAAATCATATTTAATGTATGATTCTGTGTGGTAATCTTTAATTTGAATATAATTTCCCAGCTTTGTCTTTTTCAAACATAAAATCTGTGTCCTATACTCTGTTTACACACATTGTGATTGAAGCAGCTCTCGGTGTGACACTGTCTCTGTTTCAGCGAGCTGATGTCCTGCTCCGAAGATGGCAGTGTGAGGATGTGGGAGATCCAGGACCTGCCTTTGCCTGCTGAACCAGCCTCTGCAGGTGACACATACATAACAGCGCACACACACAAACATACAATTTCAGATCTGATCCTAAATGTCACAGTGCTGATAGGCTGATGGTACGTAGTTCACACACAGAGCACAAACATGCAGGCATATCAGAAAGTAGGCCATCTTCCCATTTTCTCCATCTTAAGAAAACTGGATTACATTAGCTGTGTACAAAAGTATGAATCATAAAGTTCAAAGAGTGAGGGAAATTGCCTGCACTCAACTTTTGTGTGTGTTGTTGGGTGTCTTGATGTGTGGGCGGTGCAGTAATGCAGTCCAGATGTGGTATTGTGTATATCAAAGGAAAGTGTACTGTACCAGCACTCAGAGAGGCTGTGTTTTCTACTTAAGTGGGGTGGTCTAAAGTTGAGTGTGTGTCTGTGTGGTCGTGCTGTCTTTGATGGTCTAGCTGTCTGTGGTCAGTGTAGAGCTGTGGTCATTCTGAATAGATCTTGGCTGGAGAGTACACTCAGGCTACATCACTTGCTGCCCATCACCGAAGGCCAATTATTTGTCCATCCTCTGTTTTATGTCTCCAGGAAACTAGAAATCAATCACTTGCATCTCCTGTGGTCTTTAGAGGAAACTTTTTTTTATCAATTTCAGCTCTTTTTTAGCTCATTGTTTTAGTTTTAAGGAGGCGACTTTGATGTGTTTGGCTCATTCTCACTGCATCGCTAAACACTACCTGCTCAGCAAACAGCAGATGGACAGTGTTAGCAGCTAGATGATGAACATAGTGGATCATTTAGCAGCTAAAGTGCCAGATATTTCCCTTAATTGTATTATTTTTGTCTTTTTTTTAATCCATTATTCTTTCCTCCATCAAACCAGGATTCTTTGGAATGTGGACTTTTGGTCGGACAAACAAACAGAGTGGTCCTCCGTCAAAGAAGGTCATGGAGGTCCCAAACATCAGGATGCTGGAGTTGACGGGCGATCTGATTGGACACTCAGGAGCAGTCCAGGTATGAATTTATGAGTGTACAGACTTTCTACTTTGATATGATGACACTGTAGTTTACTTTAAAAATCCCTTCTGCTCTTCTGTCAGATGTTTGTGAGCTTTAGGGAAAACGGTTTGGTCACGTGCTCGGCGGACCACCTGCTGATTCTGTGGAAGAACGGAGAGAGGCAGTCGCACCTGCGCAGCCTGGCACTTTTTCAAAAACTGGAGGAGAATGGAGGACTCTGACGTGACCTCTGACCTTTCACCCTTGAATGGCTGCCTTAAAAAAAGGAGAGATTTGATGTTGTTGGTTGTTGATGTTGGTTACAGATATTTGAATCTACTGTCATGATTGTTTGCATTTAATGATAATGTAATGTTGTTTGCCTTTTCACTGAAACCAGTATTTAACTTAAATTGTAAAAAATGTGTAAAGTAAAATACCTCACCCCAGAAACTATTTGTAATGTTTTTATTTTTAGCCTGCAGTATTTTGGCACTGTGATGCTGATGTGAAGTCAGACATCTTGTACGGGACATTGCCTGTTGCAGGTCATATGCTGGAGGCCTGTCAGGGGATTAACAGGTATTTTGTTGGCTGCTGCTGTCTAAGCACCTGCCTCAGTCCTCATTTCGGTGTGTCTTCATATTTGGTGTATAAACCTGTTTCACAGCTCTCTTTGAAGAGATTTAGGTGGTTTTTTTTTTGAGCACCCCATCTGGCAAAAACCCTGTCATCATCCTTGACCAGCAGTTGTCCTTTGAGAGGAACACTGTACCTGCTGCTTTATTCTTTTTCATTTTTGAAAAGACGTTTATTCACTTTCTTGGTGAGAGTTCGATGAAAATATAGATACCACTCTCAAAAAGTTATTAAGCTACAGCCAGCAGCCTGTTAGCTCAGCTTAGCACAAAACGGGGAAACGGGGCATGGGTCTATCTGAAAAAAGAATTTGCCTACCAGTGGCTCTAAAGCCCCCCTGTTTGCAGTCAATTGTAAGTACCTGTAGTTTCATATTTACCAGACAGGAGAGTGGCATTGATCTTGATCTTCACCTGAAAGCAAATAAGAGTATTTCCCAAAATGTCAAACTAGTCCTTTAAATGTGTCACCGCCATTCATGTATACAACGTCATATTTAAAGAATGATTTAATTGTCTCTCACAATACATTTCTGTGTTTGACAGAGAACATCAAAATAAGACATCAAAATCCAGAGAGCAAACTAAATTTAACTTTTCAAACAAACATTTTAAGTGACTGATGGAAAGCTATTTTAAATATTATGCATGAGGCAGTAAAAGCTTTCAAAACACACATTACAGTTCTCATGGCCATTAATGATTTTTCTTCTTTGAAAAATAATTTGTACTGTATATAACATTATCACTTTCTAATTATTGTTCTGTATAAATTATACAAAACAACACAGGATTGGCACGTTGTCCGCAGCCACGGCCATCAGTGTCGAAGATGAAAGAGAGGAAATAGAAATCACTGTAAGTGATGAAGGCTTATCATTACATAACAAGCAGTTATACAATCTGGTTCTGCCTCAGTTGACTCAAAGCGAGCGAGGCGTTAAGCGGCTTGCTGTCATCCGATCTAATTGATATCGTCACATTCCAGTCATTGCTGCTCGCGGAAAAGGCATGTAAATCTGAAATATTTAAATTGTCTTTGTGAATAGAAATCTCTCATTATTGACTAGCAAAAATATCTTCTCGTGATCGGTGAGAGCATGAAACATTCAGAGGTGGAGCCATGTTTCAAGTCACTGTAAAAAAATTAAAATCTTCTTTTAGAGATTTTGGAAAAACACCCCTGCAACATATAACAGCCAAAACAAACGTTTACATAAGCAAATTATGTAAAATGCAAAGCAAATGTGATATATTAGGCGAGTATTTACAAAAACAGCAGGTACATTAGGTAGTTTACAGTGTATTGCAACAATAGCAGACCTAAACACTGAGACATGACAAGATTAAGGCGTTGATTAAGACCTTGGGTCATCAATAAAATTACTACATATCATGATGAATACATAGATGTGACCTGTTTTGTCTCTTTAAAGTGAACTGAAAATAATAATAGTGGAATTCACATCTGATCCAACTTCCCCTGATTCAGTCTTTAAAAACCTCATAGTTGTACGAAACAAAGGATAAAATGTCAGGACCATTGTGACACAACTATTAACACTGATTCACCAAGTTAACTCAGAACTGTAGCACAGACCTTATAGCAACATACCTAAAGTCATATTTTCAAAAAATATCTCAAGCATGTATGGCTTTTCTTGCAATTGTTTTTTTTTTTCTTTAGAGGAGAGGAGGAACTATTTCAACCAAAAAATACTCTTTTTTTTCTGAAAAGATGACCAAAGAATAAGGCACCGGTAAGCTCTCTGTGCCTTTGGTTAATACTGCGATGTGCGTCTTCTGGATTAAACACACACATACTGTACACACACAGCGATGTCCTCCTACGTCACTCATGAACACCATTCGGGTGGGACTAGAACTACATAATAATGAAATTACACAATTTCACCAAAGCAGCTTAGGTAGTTTATGCATGTATATCTGCAGATTTAACCACTAATCGCTATTTTTATTCCAATTTTCTTTATAAAATAATATCACAGGGTTAAGTGTGCTGCTAGAAATAGAGCTTTCCAATACTGGTTCACCTTCATGTGTTAACATGTAAGAAAAACTAAGGGATGATACTGGTAAAATTCTCAAATATTAAAGCAGATAGTTTTCTTTAGAAATTCTGGCTTTTGATAAATCTGAGTTTTTTATATCACAGAGTCACAGTGTGGTAATTTCCTGTAGATTGTATCTGATAAATGAGTCACCATTAGATTTTGTGTACTACTACTGCAACGCGTCTGTGTAGCCACCAGAGGGCAGACGCATCATACAAATATTATCTGATGGCCTTTTCAGTCTATTTCCTCTGAATCCAGATAATTTGAAAATTATGTCCAAGCTAGATTTCTCCCAAAAAAGAGAGAGCCAAATGACTGCAAGGTGAATTGCAGTTGCAGGATTTTGAGATACAGTGAAATTGGTTTAACAAAAACCATGTGAGAAGCGGAGCCGATTAGTGTTAGAAGCAGGCAGACGCTGGCTCTGCAGCTGCTGTTTTTACAAGCTGGATCCAAACATGGATCTGGTGCTCCTTCATACATCTGTGAGGTCCAACAAAGCTTACAACTCGCTACTTTGACACTAGCTTTGCACAGTTTGTGCACCATACAACAGTCAGTGTAGCCTCATATAGGACGCTTATACTTCATTTGTTTCTTCTTATTTGGGTGCAAATGTCTACAGTTAGTGTCACAAAGCTAAGTGTGTAACATCTGATGTTATTATTCATTGAAAGTATAACCGCTTAACTTAAACAGCTCTGATACAGTGCAATTCTGTTCCCCCATTTGTTCTGACATACAGGTTTGACAAAGATCTTCACTGACAACATTAATGCAGAGGAAGATATCATAACAGTAGATTTTTGGGTGAGTTATTTCACCACCAGCTACGTGATCTTTAAATCCAGCAATCACACAAACAAACAAAGCCCTTCTTGGATGTCACCTGGCTGGACATTTAGAAAACCTGTGTGCTGGCTGGTTCTCCCCTTGTGATTGGACCCTGGTACTTGGCTAACCGCCTCTGGAGCACTGCCCTTCCTTAAATCTTTCCTACAAGTTCTTTCTGTACGGGGCCCAACAGGGGCATGGATTGCTAAGCATTTGGTCCCAGACACAAGTCAAAGTGTCTCTCATACTGTAGACCGTATCACAGCTCATAAAAATGAATAATTCCAGCTGAGCACCTTCACAAGTTGGTGATTTGAAAAAGGGACTTTTGAGGACACACATATTCACCGGAAAGCACGAACAGATCCATCTTGGTACTTATTTTCAGTCAGTGCTTCTAGCTTTGGTCACCATCTGATTCACCGTGTTTCTTTTACAGCAACAGACGGATGCAGAATGAAAGAAAACTAAGGAAAAAACGGTGAAAAGCAAAAATAGCAAGAGGGAGCTCAAAATGAAAATGTCTTGATTAGCTAAAGTGCAGGTTTCTGGTGTGTTACACTGGATGGTACAGATTGTCAGGTGAGCCATGAGGTCCTCAGAGGTGCTATTAGGAATACTTAACAGGGCCATAAAGTGGCAAAAGAGAGTCGACGGGGCCCTCAAATGACAACCTGTTCTCCACTGGCAGAACACCACCTCCACCGAGAACTACGCTAGAAAAGAGGCTGTGATTTGAGATTGAAATAGCATCTCATGTGTCCATCAGTCAGTGATGTCCGCTCTCAGAGTCCCTGATTGCCCAGCGTTGGGCTGTGTCCGGGGTGGGGGGGCGCCTGGGAGGGCACAGAGCTCCGTCGAATCACAGCTGGAGAGACTAATTGTTCCACCGCAGGGCTGCATTCGCTGTCCTTCCCTGCTCGGAGTGATGGATGAGAAGAGGGGACGAGGAATTGGTCAAGAAGGAGGGGGAGGACGCAGGCTCTTACACTTCATCTCGTCCAAGCCCTTCCAGTACTTGTAGTTCTCCGACAGGTGCTCCATGAGACCAGGCAGGCTGGCGAAGGCTGAGGGGAGACACAGAAACGGTCGGTTGGGTTAAGATAAAGCAAACATGGACACAGATTTGAACAAGTCTGTCTTAATATGAGACTCACACGACCACATGTACATTAAAACTGTTTTTTGTAGCCTTAATCATTCCTCCTGTTCATACTGATTGTGAAGAGATACCTTTATAATTTCAGTGTAAGAGTTGGTGGACAAAAATATATAGGGGTGTATCATGGTATCATGGTGTCCTGAGCAGAGAATGACTTCACACTCCCTTTGCCTGTGTTGCTATCGCAGCCGCTCTGTGGTTTGTTTACAAATCTGGTCTGGCCGCGCCTGCATGTTAGTCCGTGTACAACTGATGGGAGCGAAACTGCTGTTTTTCCTCATCTACGGTGGTGAATTAGTATTTTCACTGTTCCAACAATCACCAACTCTGGTTTGGTCAAAATAAATACATACACAAAGATAGTTTTGATGAGTTTTATTTTGTTTCTGTCCACTCTGAATAAAGTTCTGATTTGATGTGAGGTAAAATTTCTGTTTTTGTCTTTGGAGTCTGGTGGAAGATGATAGCGATATTCTGGCTGTTTCTGGTTAAACAAAAGATCTATCTCTGTAGGGATCCTTTCCCGAATTGTACACTTATAGAACAATCTGAGCCTGTCAGTGGCAAAAACAAGCAGTTTTATTGGACGTACTTTAACAGGCGAACATGTCCAAGGATTAGCTAACGTTGCATGGAAGCCATTGTAGCCCATTTCGTGACTGTTTTCACATCTGAATTAAAGGTTTATATCAAACCAACCAGAATTGGTGATTGTTGGAAAGACTGGGGAAAGACTAACAA